CCCAAGCGCGGACATTGGCCGCTTACGCGGACCCAAAAGTATCCCCCTCACTTTTCAGAATGGATCGACGCCCCTGTCACCATGAGATATTCCTTTTTCAGACCGAGGTTGCTTTCCATAATGACAGCATCAAGTCGCTTGTACGTGACCATGCAACAAAGCATGATCATGTATCTAAACTTACATCTAGTTTGAATTTTCAGATTTGGTCGAAAACCTTTGTTTGTAATTACGTTAATATCGGCAGCGGTATTTGGTGTACTGGCGGCATTCTCTCCAACTTACGCAGCGTTTGTTGTGTGCCAATTTGTACTTGGCGTGGTTTCCATCTCTACTGGTTTGATAGGGTTTGTCATAGGTGAGTTTGTACTATTGTTTGATGTTAGTACCACACCAAAAGGCGATGTGAATAATTTCGAGTAATATTCGACATTGTTTTGGCAAAAAACATGAGAGTGTTGCTCAAAGAAATAATCTAAACGCGTACGTACGTACAGGTATTTCGTATCGCTCGCTCACTGGCGTTTCCATTATTACATCGCATGAATACAGGCATGACAACTTTTTATTTTACGGTGTACTGAACAAAAAGAAATTCAAACCTGCTCTACAATATTTAAAATTATTTAAAATCGCCTCTTTGATTAATATTGTTATTGTTTTTTTAGTAAATACCTTGGATAAAGTGAAACAATTTACCCAACTATAGATCGTTGAACAATTATAGTTGTATAGAAAATTTAACAAGTCTGAGAAGGCAATCAACAACAATCGGCACCCGCCATATATCTTCATATCTGGGGTTGGACGACAAAAGCCAATAACAGTGTGTATTTGGAAGTTGAATTCTCAACGATAATATTTGATATTTGCTCTTGTAGTTTGTGTAACTGCCAGCCAGTACATGAATATTCAGTGATGCTTCAAATCGTCGTTAGGCGACTAAACTGACTTATAAAATTAATCATTACAGTGGTGGAATTGGTTGGTCCATCCTACAGACTTACATGCTCTATATTAACGTCGTTCTTCTTACCAATCGGCGAGTTTTTACTGGCATTCAGCGCTATTGTTTTTAATGGACATTGGAGAAAAATACAGTTGTTTGGAGGAGTGATAAGCATAATTTTTATTCCATACTATTGGTGAGACTTTGTTTTGTTTTTTTATGAACAATCAATGGTATGTAATAATTAAGTATATATTGCGTGTTCAGATGTTAGTACTTTTACTTGTCTCACGGTATAACAGGTGAACCGAATAACTGAGAGATTTGTCCATCGCCCATCATCATCATCATCCTCATCATCATCCTCATCATCATCCAATTACAATATATACTGCAACGTTTTACAATTGTACAATGAAAACGTTTGACGTTTGCATAAAAATGAATGAATGAACGAACTACGTGCAAATATTCCAACTACACTCGGCATAGTTATGTCCCTTTCAACATTCTGGTATACGTATTAAAATCAACTTCTCTTCGGCGAAATATTCTATTGGCAAATTCTTTAGGTTGGTTCCTGAATCTGCCAGGTGGTTGATGCAAAGAGGTAACTATGGAAAAGCTGAGAAGATTTTACGCAGAGCCGCACAAATGAACAAAGTGACGCTACCGAATGATATATTTGACGAAGAAAAGGAAATGTTGGTCTCCCAGGATAAGATAGAAAAGGTGTGAACAATACATTTCAAGCATTATGATAGCATGGTTTTTAAAATAACTGTAATATTTTCCCCTTCATATGACATTTCATAATTTTTAATAACAACTTGTTTCAATCGACACGCCAAACTGAGTATGTTTGTAATATCGTGTAGCAATATTCTAAGCTGTTTTTAATTGTGTTTTTGTTGTTGTTTTTTTCATTATTTTAAAAAATACCTCCCTTGGTAATACACGTTGCTATCTCAGAAAATAAAGACGCAGTCGCAATATCCTGCAAGTCACGAGGACCATGTTGAGATTCTACTGCCTCGGGAAAAAGTAAGTAACCTGAGGGGTCAATTTGTAAAAGATACCTTTTTTTAATTTATTGTAAGAATAAACACTCATTTTACAAATCCCGTTTCATGGAAATGAGTTACCTGTAATTAAGAAAACGGGATAGACTGTTTTTGTTGAATGTTGACGGCTGTAATCAGAACATTAATGGCCAAAACCACCAAACCTAAAACATTTTTAGAAAGCATTTGGTCGAAAAAAAAAACATTTTTGTGTAGATCATATTTGCTGTAAGGCCACGTGACTGTAGAATTAAACGGATGCGATAAATGAGTAACATGACTAAAACACTAATAGAAAAATAAATGAGTGATGTTTCATCACAATTTCACTGTGAGGTCACGTCTCTGTTTCGAACGACGTTTTAGAAAATATAGGGGCACATTCTTCCAACAGAGAAACAGAAACCGTAGTTTTACTCACTGACTTGCTATTTCGACTTTAGCAAACCGAAGCGACAACACTGTTAGGAATCTGTACTTTCGCCAAGGTTATATCTTGTTACTTATTACTCGCAGTCAATTAGATTAACTATAATTCAAAGCGTGGCCATGGAAGGATGATGCGAAGTGTTTTTGATATTTTAATTGAAAAGTGTTCGATTTCAGGAGACTTTCTCTAAGCTTGAAAATAACCATTGTTATATGGTATATATTCTATCTACCAGGGTTTGTAATTGATAAACCTAGAATATAACCCTCAATCACATCTACTTGAGCTTGTTGTATTTTAATTTTTTATTATTAAAAAATATCAAACAGACCTCAAAACATCATCCTGCTAAAATTTGTTAGTATATACCAATTTAACTAAATACACACGTGCTCACGAAAAACGACATGCGTTCAAATTTTTCACTACATAAGTTTCATTCCTTACTTTTGTTCATTTAGGAGATCGAAGATCAGAATAAAACAATGCTCGATCTATTTAAAACACCAACTCTACGGAAACGGACTATATACATGTGTTTCAATTGGTAAGTCAATTTGCATTCGGAATGTTAAAATTAAATGTAGCTGTAAATTAAAATATATAAGAGTGTTTTCTCCTAGGTTCGCCGTTAGTCTTGTATATTATGGGTTGGCTTTGAACACCGACCAACTGGGGACTAATCCATATACTACGTACGTCATATCCGGTGTAGTGGAACTTCCATCATATCTCTTGTGTTGGTATTTACTTGATAAGATTGGCCGTCGTTGGACGATGTGTTCATGTATGGTGTTTGGAGGAATAGCATTAATTCTTAGTGCTATACCAGGTAGGATAAATTACGGTCGGGGACAGAAAAGTGTGACTGTTTCTCTCGTGCATGCTGACTGTAGGGACGTTTTTCATGCATGCGCGCCAAAAGTGTACGTTATCGCTGCGTCTGCGTGAGCTGTGTAGTATATTTCTATGATGTGCGTGAGTTATACAGCGTTACCATCAAGACAAGACGTGGTGCAACGAACATGCTGTTTTATCCTCTGTTGTACAATGTTCTATCTTATGCAACAATATGATTTAAGATATATCGTATCGTATCGCAAGGCTAGCTAAAAGACAATAGATTTAGAAGACAAAAACTGATTTATAAAAGACGATTTGCATTCTGTTTTAAGATGATAATTGCATGTCATCGGTGCGCAAGATGATAATCATATGTCGCCGGTGCGCAAGAATGTCGTCTATCTGAATATAATTGTATATCATCAAAACGGAAGTATATCATTAAACGAATATCATCCTCACTATATCATATATTGTAAGACCATTATCGATTTCTAAATTAAGTTTTCTTTTCACTCCAAGATAATAATGTTATATCGTCAGCATTTGCAATGGTTGGGAAGTTTTTTATTTCGGGCGCGTTTCTTATAGTGTATATTTTCGCCGTGGAGATTTATCCAACGCCAGTCAGGTAATATACTGCAACATGAAGCTTGTGTTTGTGCGGATATGTTATGGGCTCATACCTCTAATCAGATTTTCATAGAAGGCTATGTTAGCATTTGGGTGATTTTATTCCAAATAAAACACGTTTTAAAGATAGCGTTATTTTCTGACACCAAATGTATACAACACATAAAAAACACATATCTTCCGGCTCAAAATAGAGTTATCAGCCTTTCTACCTTCAGTATTCTTCGAAAAAAAAGTTTCTTAGTTTTCTAGTCTACAGCTAACGCAATTTAAGTACGCCCTCACACAGCGGGTTTTCGATAAAACGGGGAGAAAAAAATGCCTAAAAACGGGCCGATCGAATGGGTTGTTACGATGCGTGTTGTGTTACTTTGTGTCGGGCTTTGTGCATGATGTTCGTGGTATGACACAACTCGTTTTTGTATTTCATCATTATTGCGGGATTTCATTTGAACTATCCTCGTGCAACATTTGATGATTAGTCTACAACTAATTTACCTCTAATACCAATTGTTTTATTTATAATGTGAAATTGCGGCTCGTTTCTTAATATTACGTATACTTGAAATCAAAAATGTTCTATCACACATGTGTATATGATGATGGTCCTAGTGTGAACGTACACACGACACTGTACCACACACCGTAATCTCTTTCTTCATTCACAGGAATGCAGGGCTGGGACTATCGTCTACATGTGCACGTATTGGCAGTATTATATCTCCTTACGTTATTCTACTAACCAGGATATGGCACCCTACGCCCTTTCTCATTATGGCCATAACATCCATAATTGCGGGTCTACTTGCGTTACTTTTACCGGAAACACGAAATAAAGACCTCCCTGAAACACTGGAAGAAGGCGAATTATTTGGAATGTAAGTGCGATCATCGCGATAATTGAAAGGAATTGTATGTGAGCTATATATATATGGGGAAATATTATTGTACGCACATGGTATACTCGACTATTTTGGGGGAATGCTATATCCAACCAATTGAGTACTCTAATGTCCATCATATGACATAACAGTGATTGCAAAATGGAATTATTGTCATTAGCTTTGGAAACAAATCAGTGCGGTTGTCAGAGGCTGTTAAGGTTCTGCGTTGAATTATTGTGTGTCTGTCTTCAATCATTCGGTTTAGAACAACGGTTTAATTACATTTCTGTGACATAGTGATATCCAAATAGTATATTTTAGGTAAATAAGTTACAATTCAAACCGCAGTATGGTGAACGATCGCAACAGATACGTCATTTGTTTTTCTCACCAGGAAACGTTACAAAAACTGTACAGATGAGAACGAAGAAGAAGATACTGAATCCTTTGAAATGCAATCACAGTGTGACGTTGGAGAAAATCGACTTGACGAAGATACTGATAAACAGAGAAATGAGTACAGAGAGGGCCTTATCAATGATTCATTCATGGACAATTAAAATCAAATCTATATATGTCTGTTACACTCGAACTTACTTTATTAACGTTAGGAATAAATACTTACTTTACTTAATTATGTGATTTGTTTATTGTATGTTATGATTACTGTTACAATAGTGCAAAGTGCTTCATCATGAAACGCATCATTTGATATATTTTGTTTTCAAAAATGATAACGTTAATGATTTGTTACCATGTTATCAGTGTAAATACAATTTAAAATGTGTCCCTCTTGTCAATATTCAGTTTGTGTTTTACTTTTCAAAATGTTGCGATGATAAACATTTTTTCAACACATATTTCTGGTGGAAACTCTTTTCAAAATGTGTATCTAGTGAAATCACTTTTCAAAGAGTTGTGATAGTTAATACTTCCTTAAAAGATGTCTTCAGTTGATCATAAACACTTTACAAAATGTGTGTCTAGTAAAGACATTTTAAAAGTTTTGTGATAATAAGTAAATTTCATACGTGTTTCTGTTGGAAACACTTTTCAAAACGTGTTTCTAATTGCAACACTTTACATGGTGTGTTAGGGACAAAAACATCCCTGAAATGTTCCAATAAAAGTGTTTTCACAATATACACTTTTCGCAATTATGCAGATTATAAACACTTTAAGTGTTTTTAAAGTGGCGACAAGCTTATAGACAATTTAAATATTTTATCACTACACAGTAAAATGTTTTATTTTAAAACAGTAGTGTTGTAAAATAAATCATTTGCGATTTTAAGAAAAACACTTAATGTGTTTAATTATAAATCACTCAAAGTGATTTTAAAGTGGGGACAAAAATGTGTCATATTTTAAAACACCTAGATGTATGTAGCGTATGATGTCTACCTTGCTACCTTTGTAGACTATGAGAAAATGGCATTTTAGACAAAATGTCTATCTAATATTTCTGTCTAATAATTTAATATATGGAGCAATATCTACCTTTTTCTTTAAACAGTTTGCAAGTTCTCAATTTAGGATCAATTCTATTTTTGTTTTTTCAAGGTTTGAAATCCATGAATCTTTGTAGTAGCATTGCTATTGGTCATTCAGAACTTGTTGGGGAATTATTAATAATACTCTGGTAGTATTTAATCACTTGCCGTGTATATTGATGCATATATATATATGTTGTATAAATGTTCAGATACACTGACAAATACTGATTCGATTAATTGCGAAGTACGGAGCATCTGTATATGCTTACATAAACCCCCTCTGATATGGAGTACGCACATAAGAGGTATTTATAACTGGGATTTCTTTTTTCATGACTTTGTATATTTAGTCTTATTTATTCAACCATCCGATTAGAATGTTCAATAACCCCACCCCCTCTTTAGTCAAATGCAGCATTGAGAAAACTCCCTCTCTACTTAGATAGCAAGTAATGTGTAACATGTTTATTAAATACTATCAGGAAGACCATACATGTTAAAATGATGTTTAATATTATAATATTAAGGTTTACCGGTACATCGCAATATTCAGTTATATTAACATTTTGATTGGTTTGAAGTGGGCGTGCACGTGACAATACGTTCTATTACCAATAAATCAAAATACGACAAATAATTAAAACTGCTGAATATATTCATAAAACTTTCTTGGACCTTGTTAAGTGTGTTTTCGATTACTAGTATATAGATTTTCAAGAAAAGTTTTAAAATGCGAACCATTTCACGCGAAGGACATTAGTCCCGATAGACTGCCTGCGTCTGCTGGTTTCTAGTTGATATGAATAATTCATAGTTGAAAAACAATTAAATCGCCTAGAACCAAGGAAACAAAGTGCATTGTTTGTGGCAGTCAAATAGAAAATATAGAAAACCGGAAGAGACTG